CACTTTTTGATGCCTGGAAAGTTCCCTGAAATTTTGCAGTTGTTTGGACACGGTCTTCAAAAGCTATTGTGCTGCAGACGGAGGAATGCTGAGCTGAGGGTTGGGCCTTGCTTTGCAAGCCCGATCATTCAGACCAAAAGCAAGACAGCAGCACATTTGTGAGATGGAGATCAGTTTGAGCCTGACCCATGTGATGTTCCCTGGAGGGGCAGTTGCATAGGGTGTGTGAAAACAAGCTGGGCTGCCAAAATACGGCTGTTGTGAACTATAGAAACCTCAGCCCTGAATGGCTGGAGAGGTGTGAGGAAAAGCAGATACCCTCAAATGACAAGAATCAAAACTGAGGAGATTTCTCTCTTCTTGGATGGACCCTGTCACCAGTAAGCTTTGGGTCCCTTAGAAGCCAGTGACTGATGCAACGTCTGGTCCCTTCCAAATGAGGTCTGATTTCAAGAAATTATGCCTGGCCCCAAAGGTCCCTGCCGGCTGTGGTTGTTTTACAATTGGGAAAACAGCATGTGAAGCAAATGATGCATGTGCCAAGTCTGCTTCATTTGGTGTTGAATGCACAGTGCAAGCAAATGGAGGGTCTCATCTGTCTGGGCTCTGGTGATTTTTGGCATTACCTGTACGGATAGAAAAGGGGAAGGAAATAGTAAGGCATGTTATTTGGAAGCGTGATCTAACCTCTGCTGAAGTCAGCGGGTGTCTTTCCCGTTCAGGCTTGCCCAGACTAGGTGTTAAGGGTCTAGTGTAGCTTAACTGAGGTGTGCTCTAGATGAGGGAGGTTATCTTAAATACCACTTGAGTGGTATTTTTCTCCCCAACTTTTAATTAAGTTATAGTGCAACCAGCCAGTGCGTCTTTGAATGATGCAGGCTAAAACATAAGTCTGCAGGCTTTTTGACTGTGTTAGGCTAATAATGGAGAAATGCACTATTTTTTACCCAGCAAGCAAAACCTCCTGCTTTGCCCACCTGGTTTTGTTAGTGGGATGAAGGGGTTCAGTCATGCACTGGGAGACTTTTCATGGGGAACTCCTTTAGGTCTTGCTCTAATCTAACCTTGTAGGCCAACAGAATAGTGCTTTCTGGCCAGTTCTGTATTCTGGTTAGCTTTTTGAATTGCATCCATCATCGTGGTGCTGCTTGGTATTTTGGATGATGATCATCAGCCCTCAGAAGTGTCTGAAACCTTTCGAAGAGCTGTTTGAGTAGTTGCAGGGTAGGGGGGTTGATGAATTAACCATACAAGATGCCAGGCAACAGGCGTGCTGTAATAAGCCCCTTGCTTCGCTATAAACACAAGAGATCACTCTCACCTTTGTAGCAGCATTATTTCTCTCGGCCAAGGATTTTTTTTTGTTTATTTTTTTTAAATTCAAAAAGCAGCTTAGCTGAAGTTTCAACCTCTCTTGTTCTAGGAGAGCAGAAAGGAAAGCTTCTTGAGGCATGATAATTACTAAAGGTCAATGTCAGCTTTCATCTTGCTACTGTCTAGTTTGGGGACTTCTGTTCCACACACACTTGCTTTGCCAAATAGCTGTGGGGTCTGGTCCCCGAGGAGGGAGCGTGCATTAGTTGGCACACAGCTTTGGTGATGTGGGCAGGGCGCCGGAGTTATTTTTAGAAAGGAAATGTCTTTAGATTATCGCAGGGGAAGGGATCTTAAAAAGCCTGATTTGTTTACCCTCTCCCCGGGCTGACAGTGGGAATAGATTAGCCGGGCTCCAGCACAATGCTGCAGTGTTTTGATTTCCAATCCAGACTCAGGCACTTTTATTTATTTATTTATTTTTAGAAATGCTAAAATCCCAAAGCAAGCATTCCTGCAACACTTTTATTGGGCACTTAAGAAACTTGAGCCATCACTGCCTTTGCAAAGCGGCTCTGCTCAGTGCGGGGTTTGGTTCTGCCACTGCTTCCACCTCAGACTTCTGGAGGGGGATAAGTTTTATGGCTGTGTATCCAGCCGCCGTTTCTCCATAGGTTGGGATCTTCGTGATGGGCAGCGTTGGGGCTGCGTGCAGTGGCGCTAGGCTGTGTCTGATCCCATAGAGTGAGAGGGCATGAATCTGCTTGTTTCTGCATTAGAGCTTCTCTGGTCCCTAAAAGCGTAGCTGACCCAGCGGGGCCGTTGGCAGCACCCGTACAATTTTGGGGCATTCTCCCATTGTTGGTCTGCAGTTCCACTCCTTGCAGCCCTGGAGTCTCCAGGGGTGCATTGAGGGGTCTTTTGCATAGAGCAATGCAGAGGGTGAAGAGTAGCAAGATGTCCTTGTTGGGCAAGGCTACTCTCGTCGAGGCCCTGCCATCGAAAGGCCACCAGGCACTGTCTTAGTGAGACTGTCGTTGGGAAAGAGAAAGCTGTGGAACAAGCCTTTTCTTAACACCAGAAAATTGCTGATTTGCAAACATTGGTTCATGAAACAACCATCAAGGCACTAATGGGTCGCCTGGGCCCACCTGAGTCTCCCTCTGGA